GACTCACATTGACCCCACGCACAACAGAATGAAACACTGCCTGGCCCTGCACCACCCCCATGATTGGTTGGGGATTGGTCCCTTGTGATCCACAGGATTTTCAGTGGCTGATTTTTGGAAGTAGATTGCCAGGCCTTTCTTCCTATTCCATCTTAGTCTGGAAGCTCCGTTGAAACCTGATCAGCATCATAGCAACCCGCAAGCCTCCACTGACAGACAGGTGGTGGCCACTCATGAGGTGCACTGGTTGGGTATCAAACCTGGGTCTCCCACACGGAAGGCAAAAACTCTACCACTGAATCACCACTGCCTCTTATAGAAACAGCCCTGGTGGCACAGCGGTTCAGCGCTCAGCTGCTGAACAAAAGGTTGATGGCTTGAACCCACCAGCCACTCCACGAGAGAAAGATGTGGCAGTCTGCTTCAGTAAAGATTGACAGCCTTGGAAACGCTACGGGGCAGTTCTACTCTGTCCCATAGGGTCTCTATGAGTCGGAGTTGACTCAATGGCAGTGTGTTTGGCTTGGTTTCGTTATTATAAGGATATTTTAAGATTTCATTAACTAACCTCCTTAATCATAAATTACAAATTGGGTAACAGAGACATAAGTGACTGTGGGGGGCTGTCAATGTGCAGCAAGCAAAGACAAAGTGAAGTTTTTATAAGGAGAAGACACTGTTATAATATTAATCAATTTGCTAATTTGGGTGATAACTCACACATCCTCAATAAATAAACTACAAATTACAAATACCTGTTGGTTTAAGTAGGGTAACTTTTGTTTATTCCACCAACAATTGCTTGTGAGCAGTAAAGTGACCATACTCCAGTAGAACGCGTGATTGGCAATCACACGTTTCCTACCAGAGACTCTGTGTGAGTCAGTATTTCCAAAGAATGACAGTCAGCCTAAGGTCTTACTTAAGTTAATAAATTATCAACAATGAGCATCATAAGCATTCTCCTAATTAATGGCCTTACCAACTGCTGTTCTCTGCTTATGGACACACGCCAAACCCCAGTGAGTGAGTGCAGTACACAGATGCACCCCACTAGTCCTGCAAATGGTCTCACGCGGTGTGGCGCTGCCGTTTCCCCTCCCTGCGCACTGACTGTCCACCACAACACCCTGCTGAGCATTCAGAATAAACAATGTTCCAAGAGGGAATAACTGATCAACTTCTGTGACACCATTATCACTTACGATCATTTCAAGAAGCTGAGATGATTTACGTCAGGACCTAAGTCAGCTACCAGCTATAATGAAATGCCTGATGTGCTCGTCCAAAGTACACCAATTTTTTCAGTCAAATCTGACAGCTTTCAAGGTCACAGCCCTGCCTCAAAGTGCCAGGAAAATGTGCCCTGAACAAACAGGAAAGGAAAGATTACCCCACCGGCCCATATGCTTTGAGGGGAAACTGGGATTCCCAGCCTGGAACTCTTCATCATGACTGGAAAAATGAGCACACAAAACAGGCTGGCCATTTGCAAAAAGCTTTTAGTTTTCCCAGCCCTCTGGGTAATGAGGAGGGATGGGGGTCATGGAAGCTCACATATGTACCATCAATCTTCACATATCTTCCTGAGCCGGGAAAGATACACATTGGTGTTAGTGAGAGGTTTGATATAGATCTGTGGTCAATTAGCAGGAAAAAACTTTGGAGTTCATTTCCTACATTAAAATCAATAATGAAAACCCAGCCTAGCAAAGTTTTAAAAATAAATGGGCTGAACATCATGGAGAAAGTGTATCTTGAGAGAATTAGACCACACAAGAAGATTACTGAACAACAGAAATGAACCTAAAATGCATCCAGACCACTGGTTCTCAACCCACCTCTACAACAGAATCATGTAATGGAAGCTTTTTAACAAATACTGACTCCAGGGCCTCACCCCCAAAGATTCAGGTTCAATTTGCTTGGTGTGGGGCTGAAACCAGGGCATTTTTTAAGCTCCCCAGGTGATTCCATGTGCAGCCAGAGTGAAGAACACAGATCTAGACCTAACGTCATTATAACACTCATGTCCAAAGAAGAAAAATGCTCCTTCTAATTTCAACCCAAAGCCCTTCTGTTATCACTGTTTGCATACCGGTAATGATGGTGGTGGTGAGAAGGAGAAGGGAAATCAAACTACTTTATTCTTCTCGATTCATATTAACAAGAACAGACAGGACAAGGATAAATGAAATCCATGCTGTTAGGCTGTCCATTGGGTGCCAACACATAGCAACCCTATGTACAACAGAACGAAACACTACTCAGTCCTGCACCATCCTCACAATCATTGCGATGTTTGAGCCCACTGTTGCAGCCACTGTGTCAATACATCTCGTTGAGGGTCTTCCTCTTTTTTGCTGACCCTCTACTTTATCAAGCATGATGTCCTTCTCCAGGGACTGGTCCTTCCTGATAACGTGTCCAAAGTATGTGAGACAAAGTCTCACCATCGCTTCTAAGAAGCATTCTGGCTGTACTAAGGAGCATTCTGGCTGTACTTCTTCCAAGACAGATTTGTTGGTTCTTCCGGCAGTCCACAGTATATTCAACATTCTTCACCAACACCGTAATTAAATCCATAGATAACCCAAAAACTTGTTTTGCTCAAAGGGCTGAAAGTTCCCTTCAACGTGATACAGCAGATTCTTAGGATCACAGAGATGAAATGAACGTGAGAAGTTGTCTAGTCCAAACAGCCCCCCAGGTAGAAAGGGAAGGGAGACAATATCAAAGGCACCGTGCTGAGACGGGCTGCCTCATGCTCTCAACAAGACTGTCAAGTCAATACAGTTATCCTCATTTCAAAGACGAGGAAACCAGGACTCAGGATGGTTAAATAATTTTTCCAGGCTCACAAAGGTAGGAGAAAGCAGAAAGAGGAATCCAACCCAACGATTTCTATTTTCAGAAACGTTTTCAACAGCATCTCAGATGGTTGGTCGTTTACACCCTTCTTAAGCACTTCCAGTGTCTATGAAATCACTACTTAACAAAGAAGTTCTCTCTGTCGTTGGGCAGGCTGCATTTTTTACAAAAGTTACCCTTTTTCTGAGACACAAATCTGTTTCTCCATAAATCCTACTCATTATTCTTGTTCTGTTTTCTGGAGCAAGAAGGTCAATTTAACCTCTTTTACAAGAAA